AGGAATGCCTATTATATTTCTATTAAATGAATCTGTTGGGACCTAATGTTCTTGATTAGCTTGCAAAAATGAGTGCTCCACCATGAGTTTTTCTGTTTGCCTAAAGTAAACAGAGAATGAATTGCAATATGTTTAAGAGAGATTACACTCATGGCTTCCAAAAGGGAGGTTTAGATGAATTGGTACATCTTTCCTTCACAATCACCTTTCTTCTCAGCCCTACTAAAGTAAAATGTATCATTTGGCTAAATGTAAATATTTGTGGAGAGTCAGAATACAGGGTTATATTTTGAAACAAGAACGCTTTTTTTTTCTCATTATAACTATAGAGGAGGCAAGTAGTGGTGGAGGATCAAGCTGCATTAAAACCCATGTCTGCCTTCCCCAGAGAGGATGCAAGGCCAAACACTAATCTCGGTGTCCCAGATGCAACATCCAGCAAAGTCAAGCTGATGAGCTGCCGTAACCCAGTGTGGAAGCCAGCCCCCAGATTCAGGCAGTTGATCAGAGAAGCCCAGACTGGAAGGCAGAAACCCAGGGGTGGTGGACAGTCCCTGCTCCCTGCACTGGCCAGGGCACAGAGCGTCTTGGCCACACTTGCACTAGTGGATGCACAGGCTTTCCTACTCCTGAGACACCCCCTGTACTGACCCAACCCCTGGTTAGGTAATGACAATGGTTTTTAGAACCACAAGTGTTACTTGGAAGGGTCAGTTTGTTTCCATTATAGTTCCCCCCAGCCAAAAGTGAGGTGACCCACAAGATGGGATCTTGCTTCCTCTTAAACCCCTTGCAGAGTTCCTGTTGATTTCAAGGGCAGCAGGGTTATGTCCTGAGAGGAGGAAACTAGACAAACACAAAAAGCAGTTCCCTGGTGCAGTCACAATTCTTGTGCCAAATAACTGAAACTGTTTTTTCAAGGCCACACTTAATTACTGTGCCACTGGTCAAATCAGGCCTGATGAACCATCACGGCACACCAAGATGCCTCTGAAGTCTGTAGGGCTTCTTGGTGTTGGAAACGTTCTGGACTAGAGTTGGGAGACAACAGGATATAAGTCATGTATTATTTCGATAGAAAATCTGCTTTATTTTTAGTGCAAGCTATCAATGAACCAATAAATCCCCTTTGTGCTATTAAAATCAAGCATTCTTTTAATGCCCAGTTAATTATTCCTTTATTAATATGCATTGAAGTTTTTGCTTTATTATATCACTCCTGTACCTGGCAAAAGCTCAAGTCATCGAAGTTAGTTTTTCATGTGTTTTTTTTGAATAAGTTTCAGTTCTTGTTTAAGGAAGTAATAAAAGCAATTTATCATAGTTTTGCTATGCTATTGGAAACAAAATTGGCAGGGATGTAATCTGTACTCAAGTTGTATGTGAAAAAAAAAAAGTAGACAAATAATCAATATGTACCTTTGCTATCCTTAAAGATGTATTTTAGGAACTTTTAGAGAAAATATGTTGAGCCTAGGCTTGGGTGGTGGGGGAGCTAGTGTTGTTTGTCACAGATGCAATGTATTTTACAGAGAGGTAGTGTGTTTCTCTCTGTACTTTTACTTTTGGGGAAACAATGCTATATTAAATATTCCTGAGAGCAAGGCAAATTTCACAGGAACTGATCATTAAGATAACATCGTTCTCCTAAAGGCTAGCCAGTATTCCTACGTTTGCACTAGGAATAGTCTCCTTGGGGGGGGGGAGGGGAAATATGAAAGGAAGGAGTGGGGACAGCTGCTTCCTCTGAAAAAAAATATTTCCCCAGCAGTAAAAACTTACTGGGAGTTTAACCATGCAAGTTAGATGCTGGCTGAGTGAAAAGTTGAGATTATTTTTTTTTAAATGAAAGAGAAACTGAAACCTGTTTATGCTTTTGAGAACTGGGAAATCCTTGGGAGTTTTCTTAGTGCAGTTGTGAGTAAGTACTGTAATAGCCTGTCAGGTGAAGTTGGAGCTTTCGGCTCAAAAGTGCTTTCTTTGCTGTAGGCTTCGGCTGCCATTTTCCAGAAAGGTTTGTTCCAGTGAGTGCAGGCTCCTCTGTTTGGGAAGTGCTGGTGCTGGAGGGGTGCTGCCAGGCAGGAGCCAGGGGCCGGGGCACTGCTGCTGGGTCTGCCGGGAGCCGCGGCTACACCGCCTGAATCTTAACAGCCGCGGTCACGGCACGCACAGCGACTGTTAACTCCTCAGTACTCGGAGAGATTTGAAAGCACAGACAAACTGTATGCTTTCCTCATTGCTTGCCCCTCAGGATATAATCTGGTAGTGAGGGGCAACTCAGCTATTTGTTTTGGAGTTGGTTTTGTTTTGGTTTGTTTTTTTTTTGTTTTGAGAGAGGTCGATTGGAAATAGAAGGAACAAAGAGGTATAATTTAGGCAGAAGAAAACTCTGAAGTGCTTATGATAGTTCTGCACATTAAGAAAAACGGTGACAGTTAAAGATTTTGGTATAGAAAACTGTTGTGCAGTCAAGGGATTAGGTTAGGGAATTCATTCCCCATGCTAAATCTGGATACATTGTGTCATGCCAGTTGTAGTAGAGCACAGAAAACAAAGCGCTTAAGATGCTCTAGTCAATGACAATGCAAAATTTTCTTTGTGAACTTTACTGTATTTTTGAGAATCGTGTTTTCTTAAATTTAGCTACCCATGATAAATACTGGGAACTACATAAAACAAATTTATTTTTAAAGAGCCAGGCCAGAATCCTGTCTTGGCCAGCTGTCCACTCTCCTCCCATAGGCACTGCCTCAGGATTTTAATTTCTTATTCCATGAGTGGCTGGAAGCTTTTATTTCAGGCACATCTCTTTGTTACCAGAAGGAAAAGGCAGAATTTAGTCCTCTGGAAGCTGATTGTCAAGGAGCAGTACAGTTCAGATAATAGTGGATGTGGGGAAAAAGATGGGATTAACTGCAGAGAAAGGGTAGGCTGGAGTGAAAAGGCCAGTGAAAAGCCCTGGCTCTAGCTGGCTGAAATTCCTGAGCCATTGCCTAGAGAAAGGAAAAATCCATCTGGCACCTACCCAGGTTAGTCAGGGTAGGAAGAGCCGTGCTTGGATGCCTTTTAACAAAAGTGGGAAAGAAAAACCAACAGTTCGTCCTCCCCCCTTGCCTGATACCCAGAATATTGAGTCAAGGTTTCAGATTGGCATGCTGATGTATGAGCAAAGGAGGGTTTGATGGGCTAAGGAAATTAAACTCCAGGTTGCTTTCCAGATCATTTGTTTATGGAGATGATATGAGTACCACCCACAGCTATGGGATTATATGTAAAGCAAACAAATAACCAAACAAAACATAAATGTTCTGGGGAAAAAAAAAGTACACTCCAGTCCCACACCCAGCTGTGATCCATGGTTTTCCTGCAGTAAAATCACGATCTTTTGTACTTTGAAGTCAAAAAGTCTGCCTCTAATAGTTCTGCTCTGGGAGGATAAATTCGTGAGTCCAGTATGCAATGAATTATAAGGGAGTCTGGGTGCTTGGAAGCTGCTATGTAAAAGACACAAAAGAAAAAATGCTTGTTACTAGATTTAGTAAAAAATCACCTATGGTCAGTTATCTTTAGTTGCTAACAAAACAAAGCAAAGAAAGGTCTGAAAACACATCTACAACTGCAACGTGATCTACAACTGCAACGTGAAAGGTCTGAAAACACATCTACAACTGCAACAGGAAATGCAAAACATTTTTCTGTGAGCAAAAGGCCTTTGGGGAGACTATAGCAAGACTGAGAGGACCCAGAGCTATAGCTGATGTTTCACTTGAAGTCATGTTGCTTTGCTCTGTATGGCACATGTGGGGCACCCAGACAGGGCAGCAAGGATGCAGACAGGTTAACCTCAGCATTATGGTACTGGAAGATGGGAAAGATTTCATACCTACCAAACTGATTTAAAAAGCCCTGAGAATATTTGTGATCAGATGAGGCCAGTAGCTTTTGTAGTCATAGTCAAGTTAAATGTAAATATGCACAACGGTATCCTTTAGAGGCCATGAGAGTTTTGGTTTCAGAAAATGAGGTCTGAATTATTTTCTTTTAAGGTACGTGGCCTGTTTCCTGTGCCCCAGTACCAAGCAAAGGTGCTCCCTGTTAGTGCTTCAACATTAATAGAAAATAACCTCTCAGTAGATGTATAATTACAGTGCTTTCAAAGGAGGACTGAATTAGGCCAAGATACCTTTGCTCACCCCCTCTCTTGCCTTTCCACCCTTTTTATCTCCCATGCTGCCTTTTTTTTCTTAGCAGAGAGGTGAAAGAAAGCAAAGGCACTTCCCGTTGTAGCTC